GCTCAATTTTTGTAAACATCATGATTAATGATGGGTTAACCCCACCACATCATGTCAAAGCTAAATGTGTATGATAACACCAAAACTATTTAGTCAATTATAGTGAAACACTTGTCTCTATGATAACTAAGATAATAAATTTACTCCATGACATAACACCCCAGCTTGACTAAAAATCAGATTATTAGCGGATCTTAGTAATGTTAAAACTGTGAATTTAGTGGTGGTGTTATATCATTAATCACTTGAAAATTGATTTGAATTTTGGCTCGGATCAAGATAAACAAGCCTAAGTACGAGCGACAATTTTGAATCAAATATTTTTCAAACCAATTTTGAGCGGTCCTAAACTCGGCTCGAAATTGAATTTTAACATCCCTAGCACGAATACAACAAGTCAAAAAATCAGCTGCAGGAAGTGAGGCTTCCAGTGGTGCAACGGTCTGGGTGGGAACTCTGCTTTGTCGGCACATGGCGGGATCTGTACGGCCTACGCCGGGATAAAGGACGGCCATCTGGTAATGCTCGATATTGATTTTCGGGTGCACAACACGTACGTGATGGTGGATGACAACACCATTTGCCTACTGATTAAGCCCACTGATGGGATCAACCACATTATTGGATAGAATTCCATGTGATGGCCTTTAATGTATTGAAGATTTCTTAGGGGAGAAATTTTTTGTCACATGGATGATTTATTTATTTATTTATTTGTATATGTAGTGTTGTTATGAATTTATATATACTTTATCTAAATAATTTAAAATTACATGTTCTTTTTGTGATTTTTTACCTGCACAACAACACTCAAAACATAAGAAATTACATATTCTACACTCCAAACATTAAATTTACCTATTCCACACCCAAAATACTGCATATCTTGCGGGAAGAGACCTTTCAGTAAACCATAAAGGATTCTGTTTACAATTTCAGCAGTAGCATTACATCCCTCTAAAGCAGTCCTTCAATGCTTGATTTCACATCATAAGGAATGAGAGAAAGATGAACGATAATAGAAAAGAAATGGTGAGTTATTCTCCATAAGAAAGGCAGGGCCTTTTTTTGGAACGGCTTCTATTTCCTGCAAAAATCACTGTAAATTTGTTGTGAATTTCCCAACAATAGTTCTAATTATCATTATTATTATTTGGAAAGTCAGCAGCAACCTTCTTCCAGCTCACAAATTCTAGCATTTAATAAAAAGCTGCTAAAAAGTTTATAATCAAACAGAACTGTGGCTCTGATTCCTACTGAGTTTTTTTGGTAGAGTGAAGCAGCACAGATTACAGTCAACAAAATGTTCCAAAGTTTCTAATTGCGCTTGAGCAGCAAGAGGAGAACATAATTTGAAAGTTGAAGTCACATACAACATTACTGTCGTTACATTCAATTTTCGTCTCTTCCATCTAACAAGAAACATCACATTCCAGCTTGTCTTACTCCATAGAAAATCTCAACGAAATAAGTTCTGTATATGAACGGGAGGATAGACGCAAACAGTTGTAGTACCTGATTGAAGGAGCAGGTGTAGAAGCTGCGGCCGAGCTTGGTACCGAGAAAGCTAGTCCTTGACGTTGACAAAATAGCTTGTGCTGGAGCCGATTGGATGGCGGCTGAGCGAAACCTTTGGCAGGTAATTTTAATGTTTAGAGTGTGGAATATGTAATTTTTTATCTTTTTGAGGGCTAAGCAGGTAAAAAAAAACCCTTTTTTTTATTATTTTGTGTAAATATTAAAGATTTTTGTAAACTTCAAATATGAAAATGTTCTCAATAATTTTTTTTTCTAATATTTATCGTCCATAGTGATCCATGAACTATATGTTTTTGCGAGATTTATATAAATATCACTTAATTATGATGTATTTATATATCTAAATCCTAAATTTCAATTCTTAAATCTATGTGATCTTATTCATACATCAAAATATATATTTTTTTATAAAAAACTTGAAATAATGATATTTTTGTATGCGATATATAATATTTGAAGGGTCTATAATATAAAAAAATAAAGTTTTTATGCCATATATGTGAAAATGTAGTAATTATGTAAATGTGCCATATTTTTTTATGAATTGGACGTCTGTTTTGATCCATTTATTACTATGCATGTAATTGCCGCATAATAGTAAATATGTCAAATAAAATGAGGGAAAAAAATCAATTTTGTATTTATATACATGACACTTGGGTGCTTTAATACTATGCATAAAAATATGTATTTCACTTTTTAAAAGTTATAATAGTGATGTCTTTGATGTGATATTAAAGTTTTGACCGGTACATGTGTAATGTACAAATCTCTTAGTTATTTAATTTATGTTTGAAAAATTATAATATTTTTATATGATAGTTGTGTTTTATAAATTTTTTATCAAATTTATAAGTTATCTATGAAAATTCGTACATTACGGTCATGGATGTATCATAGACTATATCAAAATAGAAAGAATCACTAAAGTGTTCTTGAATAGTGTTCAGACCTTCATTCAAATGACAACTCAACTCCAACTTTCCTATCTGAAGGTAGGTTCGGGTGCTCATGTTCGAAACATTGGAATCGAGCAAACTTAAGCGCCTGAAGAAGCATTGTATGATTCATATCGTTAGAGATTTCAACCAGATTATTAGTTTTGGACATCACATGGTGAGCTTGACACTTCAATATTTAGCTCTGCTTCTACGATGAGTTATGATCCTCACTATGGGTTTAACTCAAGTTGATATGTAGAAATGGTCTTTTATGAAAAATGTCTTATTATCTGAGTCAAATGGAGGAAGAGCCACCAAACCAAGAAGCGCGGATGTTTTATGAATTTACGAATAAGATACAAATGACACTATGGGAAGGTTGTACACCCATTCTGAGTTATCTATATATAGCTCTAAGAATATTAAAACTTAAAACAGGGTTTAAAATGCCCCAAGAATACTTCAATCAGTTTGGAGGATCATTGAATGAAATAAATCCTCAAGAAAAGCAAAATAGCCGGTCTCCAAGTTATGTTTGAAATCAAGGAAGATTAATTATTATGTAAATGAATACATGTTATTTTATAATTCTAATGTAATAGATACTCAACACAAATTTTGTGAGTCTCATTGATTCAAACCTCAGAATAAAAAAAAAAGAGGCAGAAAGTATTCCCATACAATTATCTCTTTTATATGCCATTTATTTGACGTTTTTAAAAACTATTTGTTTCTATATGTAGTGTCTCAAATTGAAAAGACATACCACTACTATCAACAGAACGCCACTAACACTAATGGATCAATGCCAATTGGTTTCAACCATTGTCACGTGATCATCATCTCACAGTCACTGTTATCCTAGACCACCATCATTGGGCAATCACCAAACCATCGTAGTAAGGTCAACGTTAGGCCACCATTGTCAAACCATGGTTGTCTAGCTGGTGTCACAAGATTATCATCATTTGGTCACCACTGTCACATTAAACCACTATCGCTCGACCAACAATGCCATTGTTTCCATTGTTGACTGATCACTATCCCCATCAATATTATTGCACAGCTGACATCACTGAATTTTCTTCATCTAGCCATCATTGTCGCCATCGTGGTACACAACCTTTATCAGACTAAAGGCGCTAATGTTGCCATTATTGTTTGGCCACCGTAACTGTCAAGTCACAGTCGCTCAGCCAACATCATTGGCCACATCAGTGTCATTGAATCACCATTGTTAATTTTCATCGTCACAATATCACGATCTCCCGACCCTAACTAGCATTAGACCACTATCGATTGTCCACTGTCTGATCACAGTTATGCTGTTAATGTCATTGCAGCTAACATCATTGCTTGGCTACTATTGCTGCTATCATCAGGCCATCATCGCTAAATTGATGTTGTTTCCACTGTCAGACCTCCATCGATGAACCATCATTATTGAATCACTGCCGCTTCATTATCATTACCACTGCAATCGGACCAATGTTGCCTAGTTGTCGCTATCATCGAAGGTGAATTCAAATCTCCACGACACAGCCCCTACCATCAATCTTCCATAATCGCAACTGGCTCAATATCACTTTACCAAATTTTTTTCCACTCTTATAGTAAAATTCAAGTCGATAACACTCCATTTTGTAATATTATTTTTTATTGTTCAAGGACAAGCAAAATCTTGTAATATACATCTAAATATTGAAATCATTTTAACCAGACCTGGCCCCATGATTTTTTTCATTGTTGTGTTTTTCATGTAAAAACCACTATTGTCCCCTCTGTCGGCTCTTCTTATATTTATATGTTCGTTGAATTTTAATACAAAACTAAGATATTAATATATTACTCTACTGCCACGAATTCTCCTACATACAATAACACCAATGAGAATATACATATAAAAAGGCTTTATTGTTTTATATTGGGACTCATGGTTGTAAGCAAAAGGAATCATCTTCAACATACTCTGGGTGAGCTAACAAATCATTAATTTCTACTATTATTAGTCTTTATAAACTTTGTAAAAGTCTTAAAATAATTGAGGATGCAATATAAGTTTATATTAAACTAATCCAACATTAAAAAATAGATAAAATTAAGTTAAGTTTTTTTTAAAAATGGTTGAGCAAGCTCATCTTTTTAAACATTTAAGAGTACTATTGATCACTCTAGTGTCATTAGCTAAATCGCTTGCATCAAATTACTCAAACAATGGCAAAGAATCTCATGAAGATGTAAACTCAATTATAAAGTTAATCTTAGATTAGTATTCAAAAATTAGTATATAATTAAACTAATCAAATTAATTTCTCTATATCTAAACATAATAATTCTAGCTTCCTTCGTAAGCATGGCCCACTTAACTTAAAACAAGGGAGGAAACCAATGTCCTACATGTGGAGCATTGCAGCCTCAAAGAAAAATGGGGATGCCAGCTCAGCAAATGGCATTGCAGTAATTAACTCTTGAAATAAGGGCTTTTGACAAAAACCTCTTCTTTATATCCCCCCTCCCTCCCATGCCATTTTTGATTCATCTGACCCTCCGCCAGTTTTCCTCCCACAGCGAGAAAGAGGAAGAAGAAGAAGATGATGATGGCAGGCTTGGCGGCGCCGTTCTTCCTACTGTGCGCCTTCTGCCACGTGGCTACCGCCATCACCGATGGTAAGAAAGTCATCTCCCCCATTCATTCATGAAAACATTAGATTTACAAAAAAAAAAAATTATATTTATAGTTATGTTTTCTCATAACAATAACATTATAGAAATTTTCTATTTAGCTTTTAAGAGAAGTTATTTTACATATATAACACAGTTCTTTTATATTTAGGCACGAATGTGGTATAAGTATAAATATTAAAATTTCAGTGCTAGATATGTAAATACATAAGAAGTATGTGGTATGTATGTAACTTTCCTATCCAAATTTGTACTCCAATGATAAAGTGTCACGTATACAATGGTCCCACCGTAGTGCCACGTGACACCCCACTATTGGAATACTGATGCATCAGTACTCCTCAGGTAATATTTTTTCACATTTATGTGAAGAAATAATTAATGGTAATTCCCAGATGGTATTTGGCAAAGTTTGGACCACATTTTTATTTATTTATTTTTCTATTATTATTATTCTTCATTCCCTGCTTAAAATTAATTTCTCTTATTATATTAAATAAAGAATCATTATTGTCGGATCTAAAAGCTACTACGTGAATATTATAGAAATCAAATCGATGGTCGACCGCAGCACGTGCTGCTAAGTTCTCCATAGTCAATACAGCTATCCAATACAGCTATCCAATTGCTCTATCCAATGCTTATTTTCCGTGATGTACGCTGTAATTGCCTTAAAATAATGGATGTATATATATATATATATATATATATATATATATAGGGGGGTAAATGCTCAGCTCGTGTTCAGCTCCTTCGCTTGGCGATCCGAACAGCAAAGGAGCCGAACACGAGCCGTTCACGAACAAAAAGTCGTTTTGCTACTCGGAGTTC